AGCCTGGCTGCTGGGCCAGGCGGGGCCTGGGCTTCACGCTGCAAAAAAAAAAGCAGAAAGCAGCCCCAGAGTGGCAGCACAAAGCCCAGCCCCACCCCGCCCATGAGCGTGGTGCAGAGGGGCTTTTTGGCATGCTGCAGCTCTGGAGCTTGTTTCTGCTTTTTTTCCCCCCTTAGCGTAAAGCGCAGCTCAGCCCAGCAGCCAGGCCAGGCACACCTCATTAGCAGCAGGAGCAAGAAGATGGTAAAGGTCAGCTGGGGTGGTGGAGTGCAGAGCAGCAGGGGGCCAAAAGGGCATAGATGGGGGGACAGATAGGCAAGTGGGGGGAGTTGAAGCACCCCTGCAGTCATAACTGCAGGCAGGCTGCCAAGCACCCAAATTTTGATCACATGACAGCAAGGGCGCTGCAACAGCCATAACTTTGGGCATGGGTTGTAAGTCCCTTTGTTCAGTGCCACTAACTTTGAGCGGTTGCTAAAATGGATGGTTGTAAGTCAAGGGCTACCTGTATGTAGAATTTGTCTTATATAAAAATGATAATTGCTGTTTACTAAGGGACAATTTTCTGTATCTACCTTTTTTTTTTTAGTGGGCAGACTGGTTCAGGGAAAACATTTACTATGATGGGTAAGTATATAGTCATTGATTTGTGCTCCAGTGTGAGATACTGGTTATGTACTTGTTCTATATTATTTATGTACATGACCAATTTTCCTTGTTTTAGGACTAGTCTATTAAAAGGAGCTTGTAAACTGTGTCAAGTATAGTGTAATCAACCAAGTTTATATTTTGATCACATGTACCAAATATTGTTCTGGATTTAATATCTTCCTTCACCAATGGAAAAGTAAAAAAGGATGGGGAGCTCTAAGATTACCAGCATACTGATTTGGAAAGATTAGTACTGAAAGGAGAAAGTAATCTTGTATGTATTTTAACAGTAGTGTTTCTCTGTTAAGGAAACTTCTACTTCAAAATTTTTTTTAAAAAGTAATCTATTTCCTTTGCAAACTTTAGAAACCTTTTTCAGATTTTTATCAGAACAATCCTCTTTTTAGGACCTCCTGACTCTGATAATTTTACTCATAATCTGAGAGGAGTAATACCACGAAGCTTTGAATATCTTTTTTTCCTAATTGAACGAGAAAAAGAAAAGGTAACTTTTTTTTAATAATGAAGTTAATAGATAAAGTTATTGATTATTCATTAGTTTGGGTGGTTCAGTTTAACTATTACTGAAACAGTATTACTTAAAAGTTTTCTAGTACTTAGAAAATTTTTATTATTTGGGTAACTGTAATTTGACTACATATTCTAGAATCTTACTTTCTGTTGCCATTGCTGCATTTAGTGTCAGGGTTTATAGCATACATTTATCTGTGTTTCAATTTCCAACTGAACACTGAAGAATGTTATCCAGGGAACATTTACTACAGGTAGTCCTCGAGTTACGATGGCAATTGGGACCGGAATTTCTGTTGGTAAGCGATGCAGTAGTAAAGCATAACATCATGTTACCACATTGCTTAGCGATGGCAATCCTGGCAGTCCCTGTTGCTGTCATTAACTGAATCCCACGGTTCATTAGGCAAGAACCCACCCCGATCCAAGCCATTACTGGCTTGGTCCCTCCCAGCCCCAAGCTTCGGTAAGGTAAGGGACTGTCTTCAACTCCTCCCACCTGCCTATCTCCCCCCATCTTTGCCCTTTTGGCCGCCCTGCACAGTGGTATTCCTCAGCTGCAGCAACAGCCCTGGGGCTGAAGTAGAGGCCTGGGGCCTTCAGCAGTATCACACAGCTACCACCACCCCTGGGCCTCTATTTCAGCCCCAGTGCCAAGGAGTGTCGCCTCAATCCCCACACTGTGGCCACCCACTCCAGTGCCACCGTACACTACATAGGACTTGCCGTGCCCAGCTGACCTTCTCTATCTTCTTCCTGCTGACGAAGTGCTCTCAGTCTGGCCCTTTGTGAGGCAGTTGCTGGCCGTGCCATGCCTTCTTCTTTAGGCCGTTCGCCCTGTTCCTGTAA